GACATCTGCATTCATAGTTTTCGATGGGTTTCCATCCTTAAGCTGATTATCTTTTGCATATAAGAAAGGTCACGCTTTCAAAAAAAATTCAGACAGTGACAATGCACAATTAGCTTTGTACCAGAATATTATAAAATAAGACTCTTATTCTATCTGTAATTACAGTTCAAAAATTCTCATAATGATAAGCCATCCTAATACATATAAAGTAAATATATAATGAGAAAATGCTTTAATACTTAAGAAAATTAATACAAAATTATCATGAACCTACTATATTCAGATAAATGTGCTCGGGACTTTATGTACATTGTTTTGAAATGTGATTACTTGCTAACGAATCCTTTTATTAATGCGAGAAATATAAATTTCCATTTGTTTAGTAAATCTAGCTAAAAATGGAAGTAAACAGTTGCGCATCACTGCTCATAAGTGATGCTTTTTAAGTCCTTAACTTTCTCAGTTATACGGTATATGATTTTTCTGTATGTCAATATTTTACCATTATTCCTTAAAGCTTTGTGGGCAATTCACATCTAAACACATTTTGTTTACCTTCACGATCTTGATGAGTGTCTTCAATTGGTAAATATGAAGCTGGAGGTCTAGTCTATCAGCCAACCACACACAAATGACTTTCATGGAACTGCTATACCATTGCTGGAAAGGAGGATGGGGGCAGAGGGGAGGAAAAGAAAAAAAGAAAACAACCGCTGCAGTATTCATTTAACAGATTCGGTAATGAGGGGTAATGAAACACTCCGAAAGGACCACAGATCAGCACTTGAAGTCAATAATGCTATAATTTCCTGTTAACAGAATTGTATGTTTTGCTAGAAAATCTGCTAAGTTGACCTAGGCTATTCTTTATACGAATTAACATTACAGTCTTTCTGCTGTTAACATATTCATGGGAAACAGTGTTTTTGCACTTTGCAGCCTAGCGGCCCCACTTTGTAATTTGTAGGTAACAATAGGTACTAAATACATGCTAGGGGACTGAATGGACCACCAAGCAGCAGGGGGAAAAAAAAAGGTAGATTATTTACAAAGGGAAATTTCCTATGAGCTTTCACATAATGTTAAAATCAAAGAGTAATGTATTATTCCATAAGGCATGTTGTCAATACCTAGAAATACCACTATAAAGGAGGTATGGGAAAAAATAGGCATAGCTTACTAAACAGTAATCCTCAATCACACCTTTATCTACACTGTTGAAGAGTGTTTGCCAAGATATTTTAAAACCACCTACAATAAAGACCGACTGAGATCTGAGGAAGGAACATTACTAAGATGGGATTCTTGTATCTTATAGGAGTTTCAGAACAGATCTGTCAGTCAGTGGACTGAACATGAAAAGAAAGACTGTTTCATTTTGCAAGTGTTTTTGAGGGTTCATCATTTCTGTGTCTTGTTACTCTCTTGATGAGAAAACGGAAATTCCTCTCTAACATGTCTTTCTTTCTCTTAGAGAATGTCTATGAGTATAGCAAAAGAAGAAATTCGGTTTATTTTCCCAAAAAGGCAATGAGCCATTAATGGTGACATTTTAAGTGATTCGGTGATTATGCACCTGAGCTAGGATTAAGAATCAGAAAACAGTAAGAACTATCAACATTCAACACTTAGGAAAAGACAAAAGTTTCTGAAGCAGAAAAGATTTTGAGTCCTGTGTGTACACAAAAACTCAGAATACAGATCATATATATGTGTGAATATATTCTTCATATTCAAACAGAAAAAAAGGCCTTAAAATAATTTTATCTATATAATAACAAATTCAGCTTCTAAGAGAAGTCTCAATTGATACACGTCTGAAATTCATCTGGATTTGTATTTATTAACATAGTTCCAATACAATCTAGAATAAGAAATGGTTTTTGAAGTAAATTAAAAATGAGTCAGCATCACATTTCATTATACTTACTTCTATTAATTTGTTAGTTTATTGAACATGCATGCATAAAATGAACTAAGCTAATTAAGGTGAATAACTGAATTATGAAATACTATCAATCAAATGAATGAATGAACATGTCTTTAAATGTGGAATAGGCTATGATTTTTTACAAATGTTATCGGGAACCAAATTTTGCTCCTTCCTAATGATTACTTTCTTAATTTTCAGTACATGTAAAAATATTCGAAATAAGTTTTATAAAATAAGGTATCTATGCTCCTAAACTTATTAAAAAATAAACTGCTAGTTAATTTCGATCTTAGGCTGATGTGATACCTCGAGATGTTTTATACACAGTCACTTTACTTTCTGACATTACGTAAATTTTGTATTTTCTTTTCTCAAATTATTTATAGCCTCAACCTCAAGTCTATTTTAATATGGGTAAACACAGGTATTTGTGAAGAGCATATTGAACTGAATTAAGATTCTCATCCTACACCATTCTCCAGATAATTCGAAAGATATAACGCTGTCATAATGAATGCTACTCTCAAAAATTATAGTCCTTCCATAGGGAATAGTATACTTTTCTGTTTTCTTAGGGAAAAGAAAATGTTATATTTACAAAGTCTAGCATAACATAATAGTTAAGCTACCGGGCAGAATGTCCAGTTACTGAGTACATGGTAAATTTATACATTTGAGGGAAATGAAAATACTTTCTTAAAATTACTCATGTACATCTTTATGTTTGTTCTTAAAAAGTCCTTACATAATTCAAAATTAATTTAACTTCATGTTCCCCTATTATGTATAAATAGTACTTGTGATTAAGTGATAATTGAAAGAACATTTAATGTAAGAGAAGTTATTAATACGATAACTTCTTTGACACAATGCCAACATTAGAATTTTAGAGAAAATGCATTTGGGAATACAAAGATTTAAAGTTAGCTAAAATGATAGAGAAAAAGAGTATTGTTAGTGAGTAAAACGTTTCAGTTACTTTACCATCATCTTACTTTAAAGGCAAACAAATTGTTCTGTAAGGAAAAGTCTCGAAGAAAAATAATCCTATTAGATAACAATGTTTATTTTTGGTTCCTAAGTCAAAGTATTTTGAAGAGGAATTCCAGCTAAATCAAGCAAGTGATTAAGGGCAGGCAAAAGTAGTTTAGCTCAGAGTGTAAGCTACTGCTAAGGGGAGACTAACAGCAAATCCCACCAGGACCGATTCTTTCTTGGTGAAACTTGAACGTGTACACACATGCACACACACACAAACACACATACAAACACATACCCAAACAAAGCACCAAACAGAAACCTCTAGCACTTTCCTATTTCGGGTGCTGGAATGAACGTGTCCTCCTTTTGAGAGCTGAACTAGAGTAGGTCCCATTTTTTCATCTTGAGAAAAAAAGTCGAAGTTAGGTAAGTTTCGCTTCATTTCCCTCATTCCCTGCAAGCCAAATCAAACTAACCTCCCAAAACAAAGGGGAAAAACAAAGCACATGATGCATGTGAATATGCAGTGAAGTCTGAATGTTCAAGAGATCTTTTCATTTTGGAAAAGTTAGTTTTATAAAACAACGTGATCGAGCATTCACTCTTCCTTCAGGTGATGACAAGGAAGGGGCGCTGCGGCTCGCACTGAAGTCAGCCGGGAGTATAGCCTTACCGCTTTTTTGCTTTGCTTTGGTCCACACTGGAATAAAGCAGTGAGTGTCTATTTTACAATTTTTTTTTCACATCAATCCATGACAGCAGCCTACCACTTTAACAAAAAATATATATATTTTTTTCTTTTTGTGGTTCATTCAGCTCCTGTAAGGGCATGCATTACTCACTTCATTTTCTTGAGATATCTCTTTTAAAGCAAAAATAAAAGGAAAGGAAAGGCTAGGGTTGACTCTGTGAGACCCCTGTATTTATTCACACTTATTGTGCATGACTGTAGACTGGTAAATCATATTAGCAGCCCGTCTCCCCATCAAGCTGCTACTTGCTTTCCAGCCCTGGGAAGGTTCAACAAATCAACAGGAGCACGGAAAACAGAACATCAGTCTAATCTAGTGTTTAAGGTGAAGTTTTCAAACCCAATCTAAGAAGATCTTTAGAGCAAGCAACAAGCTGAAGGGCTCAGAAGGTGGTATTGACAATGAA